AGGGATAGGTGTTCCTATGAGAATCTAAAGCCTGATGATCTGAGGTGGAGCTGAGGCCAGGATGCTAGCTCTGGGGAGAGCTACAAATACAGATGAAGCTTCACTGTCTTGCCTGCCACACACCTCCTGCTGTGCAGCTTGGTTCCTAACAAGCCAGGACCATTACCTGTCTAAGGCCTGGGGGTTGGGGACCCCTGCAGTAAGATAAATTTACATGGATTCCACAGATACAGCAAACTTACGAAAGATAATACACAGCATACACTGTATCACGGTGCAAAAGGAAATTACTATTCCTTTTAAGTGGAGAAAGACTTGGCAATATAAGCCTTATTATGGATTCTCCAAACAATGTTCCCAAAGAACTATTCTGAGATCAACATAAAATCACCAAACCCACCCAAAGTGAAAGTATATTTCTAAAAGCCTCAAGTCCTGGAGATTCTAGTCCCTATTCTTTGAATCATTAGACTAGCACCTAATCTAAGAAGACTGAAAGTTTCTGCCACTTTTCTACAAATTCTTGGAGCTTCCAAAGAAATGCCCAGTTAGAGATCATCATCTCCCTGGTATGTACCAACTTCTGGAATTACATGGGGTACCACAGGCTCCAAGTACATACCTATGGCACAGGGCCCTGCACAATTCTCCCTTAAATTGTGTTTTGGGGTTATTTTCAAAGGTTTTACAGATAAAGACTAAAAATAAAAACAAGTAGGTTTTAATATCCGAAGTGCATAGTTTGCTCAAACACCATTTTCACCATTCTAATAACTAACGGACTAAGACATGAAAACAATGGAGATTTCTCTATTAACCCTAATATGACAGTATCACAGAAGTGCTGGTGAGTTTATCCTTGTTATTATACAAAGTTAGAAACTACTCAAATGATAAAATAACCTAAGGAAATGGGTTTTATTATGTTGAGCATTAAAGCAATTTCAAATAAATTCCCAAAGGTAACATGAATCAAGTTGTTTTCTCTAGTCTACATATTAAGTCATACTAACTATTAAATATTTGAATTATAATTATAGTTAGGAGGCAAAGCAAAAACTGAGAAACAAAGGTTGGGCTAATCAAGAAAACATCTGACTCGATATAACTCAAATACTTATAACTATAATAATTTCTGTCCTAGGTGCAATTTTTCCTTTCTAAAACTCCTCTATCTAATCAACAGTGGATCACATGACCAGACATCTACTGACAAAGGGCAAGCACAGACCAAGGTGGCCAATGAACTCCATGCCCTGGCCTTGATTACTGAATCAGGAAGAGGATTATATGACCCAAACCAAGGCAATAGAAATAAGTTCCTGGTAATTTTCTTGGAAACGCAGACAAAAGGCATGTTCCTGTCTTTGGGGTCGCTAGTAGTAAGGATGACATGAGCTCCATTGGCCATCCTTACCTCTTTGTCGAGAAAGCTCCTTTGAGAATAAAACCAACCATGGAAAGCACAGCTGAGAGAAAGAGAACAAGACCAGTCCTTATGACATCCTTTGTACTGCTGGAGCCAAGCCTGGCCTACCCGCAGCCTATTTAGTTGTGAGTCAACAAATACCATTTTAATTAAAACTATTCTGCCACCTGCAACCAAAAGAATCCTGAGTAATATACCCGTGTGAATGAAAAAGGTGCCAAATAACAAAGAATTCTCTCCTAGATGAGCCTGGAAAGGAATGGCTGACAAAGTTAAATCTGCTTCTAAACCCAACTGGAAACACCAACAATGACCTACTATTCTCACCATCTAAAATAGCTCAAGTAGTTTGGTTACTAGTTGTTCTTCTCTTAGAGTATCTGAACAATGGCCACTGTTATCCACCCATAGCTGCTACTTTCCAGACTATATATTAAATGTAGATATCAAATTTTATTCAATTTAAAACTCAGTCATTATTCCTGCAACAATGTCTTGTTAGTATTTAGCAAAAAGTTTGGTTAACAAATGAGAAACCAGGCTATGTAGCCTACTCCAAGTACACCAAAGGATAAGGCTGAATAAGTAAACAAAGCTAGTCCACCCTGATCCTAATCCTTTTACATTCATTTAACGCTGGTATGCTCTGAAACACAGAAAGAACTGATAATATAAGCCTACTTTTCAATACATATGAACAATATGTAAAATCCAAATTCTAGAATGAAAAGTTACACCTAACATATGACCCCTGGACCTTTGGTTTCCGTCTGCCGTTACAAGATCATCCCACAGAAATTAAAAATGTGACCACCATAATTTGTTTTTTTCTTCCATGCTTAATTGCCTACTTACCTTCTCATTAGTCACCCTCAAATTTTTAGAAAGGAAACAGTTCTGCAACCAGTAACTAAATTCTCTTTGATTCACCGAAAAGATAAAGGTAGAGGATCAAGGTTTAAATGAGTTTTACTACTTACACCACACGAAAAAAAAGTTTTAGATACTTCCCACAAATGAAATTGTCTTTATCAACTTGCAAATTGAGATAATACTAAGCCTAAATCACAGTAAGTAGAATTACAAGTCCAGTGCTTCAAATTCAAAATAAATAGTGACAAATTATTTCCCTGAACTCCCTTAAAAACTTTTTCTGGAAATTTTGTCTGTGAGGTGGCCAATTAAGTGGTCCAGGAATAAGAAAGAGTGAGAGAAAATGTTTTTACTGGGTATCTTTTTTGATCATTTGAATTTATCCCATTTGAACGTATTATCTACTCAAAATAAATTTAAATTTAGAAAATTCCTTGAGAATCACTTTCAGAAACCATATTAAGACTTCCTTTAGAACAGCCTGAAGTTATTTTTTTTAAAAAACTGCACTTTACTCTTACAAAGGTTGACATTTTCCTAAGCACTTTAAACATGTCATAAAACTGTTCAACAATTGTTTCAGTCTACTCTTCTATTACTAAATGTGAATTTAGAACATCAGCAATACAAGACATATAGTTCTTTTCTGTTGTTCCTTCCACCACAAAAGGAAGTATATAAATATATCTGCCAACAGAAAAAAAAAATGCTAAAAAGCATATAATCACAAGTCAAATCACTTAAATTTATCCATACTGTTTATCTGTTAATCAAGAGTTGTCCAAAATATAGTTCCCATACCACTGATATGAACAGTGATTTTACCTGTATGTAAAAGAATATTTTAATAGTTATGATTTTTAATATGTAGTTTATTATGCCCAACATACCAAACCTATGACCACAACTATCACTGCCTGGAATGATGACAAATAGACTTCAGTAAAATCATAAATCCATCTGAAAAATAAGAGTGCACATGGGTGAGTGAAGTTTGAGAAGTACCAATGCACTATCCAAATTAGATCAAGGGCACACTGGAAATGATCCCAAACGGATCGACCGTACTGAACCTTAAATAAGACCAAAATTCTTGCTTACAGGGTAACTCATTTAAAGGCTTGTACAACTAAATGACATCAGTGCTCTCCTCTTCTCTCAGAGTTGGGGAAATTAAGAGAAACTTAAGTTTAATCAAAATAATCAAGGATAAGAATCAGAGCTCAGTACAATCCTTGAACTTCTGGCAAATTAAGCTAAAAAATGATATTCTTTTATATTCTTTTCCCAGACCAACACCTTTTCTCCCGAACTCCATCTATGCATCTTCAGCCACCAGTAAACATTAAGCCCTTGACTTCTCTTTATCTCACTTGTCCAAAACCAAATTCACCAGAGCCTTCCCAGGATTCCCAGACCACTCCACCGCCATTCACCTTCACAAGCAACCATCTAGATCTGCTCATTTTTCCACATTAATATATTTCAACTCTTACCCCGACTACAGTTGCAGGTTTGCTTCTTCTCCAGAGTTCAAAAGTGACTGCAGAGCCCAGAATGAGGTGTTGTTATAAGACTCCCTTACCATGGACTAGCACTTACTCTCAACTGAAATCTGTCTGAGAAAGGAAGGTGTAGAAGAATGAAGGAGGAGAGCCACTCAGATAGTGTCACTGCCCTCATCCCATCTGCCACAAGTATCCTTTACCTGAGCTACCAACCTTCCTTTACATAAATTTCACCCTACGAGTTGAAAAGGCCCCCTCCCAACCTCCTGAATAAACTTATTAAAGTCCTTTACTTTTTAATCAGAAGTGAGTATTTCAATGTAAGGACACCAGATCTTTAAAGTTATTTAAAAACGAAAAACAAAAACAAAAAAAACCCTTCCCTACCAACTTCCACAAGTTAACTTTGGTAGTGTCTGCCCCCGGGGCCTAGGGAAGCAACGAAATAACCTGGGTAAAAGATGTTCTACGAAAAATCTGTTTTCTTAAAGGAAAACAAGGAAAAACTTGACTAATTAAGGGAAGTAACTAACAACCTGTGCCACAATTTGCTTCAGGGATAATTGCCTGTTCTTCCTCAGTCTCATCACAGGCTACACTAGGAGAGCTAACCAGTTTGATTCAGCTAATTCCCTAGGAATCATGTCAGCGCTGCTTCCACACAGCAAATTCTGAAGTTGCAAGGAGCGGCTGTTCTGTTAATCCACGGCTAAGAATAACACTCGACTTCCTAATTAAATAAAAAAAGTAAAAAAGAAAGTCAGTCCCCGACCAAAGATTTGGAACAGGGGAAAAGAAATGAGCTGCTTATCTCTCATTCTCCATCACCCAGACTCTTGGATCCAACGCAATTCGCGCACCTCCAGCCCGCGGCACCGCACCGCGGGTACGACGCGAGACCTTCCAGGCCTGTGGGGGCAAGGAGCACCGATCCAGGAGGCCGGAGGTTTGCAGGTGCGGCGGGCCGACCCCCACGCGGGTTTAACATGGACCCGGCTCCGGGATGGATTTACGGGTGGGTTGCGCTCACTCTT